ACTAATATAACGCGTTTTAAACCGTTAAAGTGTTTTATTTAAAAATATAGGTAAATGTCGTTCCCACTAGGATCTAGTTAGTGACTATTGCTCAACGATAGAAACTCCAACGTTAGAAAGAAAATCCCGACACACAAATCTAACGCATAGCCCACACGCTGTAACTACTAATACTGTGTTTATTTATAAGCAAGTTGTATCCTTCTTTGGATCGCCAACCCAAACTAATATTTTTTTTAATCGAGGATCTGTAAGCCACAAAGACAGTTAATTCAATGTTTGTCACCTCCGGGTCATAGATTTTATCGATAGGTAACTTTTTGCGGAACGACTTCTGGCGCACATGTTTTAAACAAATATTTAAATTAAACTTAGTTTAATTTAGAGTAGTTTAAAATATTTCTTAATTTAAAATCATTAATTTGAACTTACTTTTTTTAATTATTCATTAATTGATTTTGTCAATTTAAAGTTGAATCACTATTATTCGAAATTTTTACCGAGCAAATAATTACTTATCTACATAGTTAAATTATATTTAAGTAAAACCGACTCTATCGCATTTATAAGTCTTTCACAGTTCACAGAGAACAAAAACAAAGGCTATGTTTCAAACTCGTTCTGCCTTTTTGTGTCCAGAAGTTCCTGTCGCCCGCGGATCAATTATGACGAGTGAAGTGTGCAAATACGTTTTCAGAATGCTGAAGTAAAATTGCAGATACGAAACGTGTCGGTTTTTGATTTCAGCGGATTCATAGATTTCAGTTTTCGGGCTTTATACTTTGAATATAACTTCTTTAGTAATTTATACCAATTTAGTGCCTTTTTATTAAAAATGGTAATTTTTGAGTTTGATCGGAATAACATAATATTTTTTTTGATCACTTATGTTTTTCTACGGACTGACTTCGGACGAGTCCGTCGTGTTGAGTTTTATTTTGTTTTTCAGTTTCAGTTGTCACTAATTAAAATATACCACCCCGTTTGGAAGAATCTGCATTAGTTGTTGTTTTGTAATAGTTCCCGCATTTTAAAGGGCGTTTTGAAAACAACTATGTATTTTAAACTAATGTTATCTATCTATACTAATATATAAAGCTGAAGAGTTTGTTTGATTGAACGCGCTAATCTTAGGAACTACGGGTTCGAATTGAAAATTGAAACCTCGCCCTGTGACTAACACAAGCGGAAAATGTAAAAAATTTTGGGAAAATTATTTATCATTATGGGGTTCCGAGGCGCACGCTGGAAAAACGATTCAAGATACTCAAAAAAATATGCATAAGAGAAAAGTCAGCAATGCTATATGTCTATCTTTTAAGATTAACTTGCAAGATAGACGGGAATGAACGCGACCGACGTCCTGGGTAAAAGTTTAAGTTTATAAAGAAGGAGTTTGCAAAAACGAATTTGAATGCCTAAAATAAATATTTTAAGCAGGCGAAGTCGCTGGTACAGCTAGTAAGTTATATATACACAACCCCTTTAGCTTTTCAATATAGTTATGTTTGTTTGTCTGTAGGTGCTTTTACAGACACAGTAGTTCAAGACCGGATGTATACCGGATGTATATGTATGTTATATAATAGAATCTGCCATATGTTTTGTATTTATGTAGGTATGACGTTTTTTTTCCTATTCTGCCTTTGCGATACAGATATACTTACATATCCCCGAAATTAAAAAATCATTTTCAATACTACGTTCTATGTTATAAGTATTGCTTGTATTAAATAATTACTCTATCTTTCGCTTACTTCTCGTCTAGTATCTCGTGAAAAATTACCTGTTAGGGGAACTGACTTTTGTAAGCTTTGTCTATAGTTTACGCAACTTGTACACATTTAAATAAAGCACTATTAAGGGTTTAAACACTAATAATATCTAAACTACGGCGTTTTTTAACAACCGTCACGGTGGATGGAGGGTATCACTAATGTCAAGATTAAATCTACACTAGCACCTGTATCTTTGTAATTGGTGTTTGGAGAGCATAGCTGATTTGACTATAACATTAGGAACATCCACCTTTGGACCCCCTGTGACCATGGCTGTTGAAAAACATCCCAAACGTGCATAAGTAAACTAGTACATTCGTGTTTTAAACCGTTAAAAGTGTCATTTGAATTAAGTTGTAAGTAGTTTTCATATTTAAAAATTCATTTGTTTTTGATAGCATTGCGATCGTTAGGTTAGCTTATTTGACAAATTGCACACAGTGCTCTCCAAACTGTTTGGCCGAGCTGAAGTCAGCGCGGCTGGTTGCGCAGAACGCAAAAACAGGTACCAGTTGCGACAAAAGGGGTGTGCTGGTGTGGGGGGGATTCAACTTTTTGCTTAAATTGACAGTACCATGCGCAAGATGGCACGACGCGCTCACACCGGTGCCTAACTTCAGCCCGGCTAAAAAGTTTGGAGAGAACTGTACTGTAACACAAGTACAATATCAAACACAATACGTGGTTACCCTACCGAGGGCGCCTTTACGACCTAACCCCCATTGTTCATTGAGAACGGTTTCGTTTCGATGCCGATAAGTGTCAAGCTGCCGGAAACTCATTGATAAATTTAATCGCACTAGAAATAATTTCAGTTTTGATTGGAGCGGTGAATTGCGACGTTTATGCCGTCCGGTCTTGGGCACTAAACCCGTGCTATTCTCAGGGAAGGCGGTTCCTATATACGTTCACTTTACGTCATACAATTGTCGTAATTCGTAGAACGACGCTACGTTTGGAGGTATGCGTAGTTATTAACGAGAGATTATTCATTTTCGCCGCCGTAGCCAAATTGTAGAGTTGTAGAGTGCGGAGTCCGGCGTTCGAATTTTTAAGGACATTCATGATTTCGGTCAGGCAGGGCACAGAAATCTTTCGACATGGAACAAAGGCAGACTAGTGGTTACTCCATGTGAAGAGACACCTACTCCATGAACAATTGCGGCACCAGAGGCATTTTGTTTTTAGGATCCAAATCTAGGACGGTTCGCGTGTAAAAAATAAATTAAAGGTAGAGTTGATCGTAGATTCGATTTTTTTACGAGTTTATTGGTATAATGGGGTTCGATCTACACCGGGTCTAATGTTTCGAATCAATTTATACAAAATAGATGGCAGAAATATCGAAATTCCGTCCGGACCACGAACCACCGACCACAGTGTGTGAATTTCCGAATATGCAAAATAGGACGACAGTGCATCTTGTTTAAATGTTATATGGCTATCTTGAAAAGAATGTAATACTTTTGGTAATCACGAAATCTCGCAGTAATCACTCAACCACTTCGTAGAACAAATGTGTCTAAGTGGTAAATAAATATCAACTTAGCCTCATTAGTATAACATGACCCCTGTCTTATAACCCCTGTAACTTTAAACCAATCTGATAATAAGATCAATTTCATCTCCGGGGCTCAAAGTGTTGATTTTCCTCTTCCATTTGCCGTTTCCTGTACTTATTGCTTAATTAAATTAATTGGGATCGTAACTTCAATTGCTTAGATTTCTAATTTGAGAAATAAAAAATAACAATGTTTATTTTTAATGTAAATGTTACCTGTCTAATTTCACATATTGACACCGGCCAAGTACAAAGCGAATAGGGATGTTGAGTTTTTTTGAAAAAGTGTTCTAATTTATAGACAGGTACATTATTTAAACCCATATAATAAACATATCGTTTAAAACCTTAAAAAGCTCTAAATTTTAACACGTGAAAAGTTATTTATTTATATTCGTCTATAAATTTAAACAATAAAAGTTGAGAACAATTATTACGATATTATTTCCATACTCGTAGCAGAAACTGCCAATTTGTTAAATAGAAATTAAATTCGTTTATGCCATTTAGACGTGCGTGTAAGAGTAACAGACATCCTCAGAAATTAGATGAAAAAATATTTTTAGCGCTTACTGTGAGATAGGTTGACAGAACAATGCTCCGGTGATGCCAGGCTGTATGAAGGCTCTTCTTTGGGTTTCAACAGCTCATGAGTTGAAACGGCATGGATGGATAGTTCCTGGAAATAATCAGAGTTGTCACTAAGGAAAGATATTCCCTCATGGGGTATGGGACAGACCCTTTTGTCATGTCTGTTTTATTGAATGGCAAGTAGTTGATAACATTCCTGTGCTCTTTTTGACCAAATTTTTTATAATGTTTCCCCGGGTTTCGAACCCGTATTAAGTGATGCGTTACAGCGATGAGGCACGACTGCGGTCTATATCTTCGTGGCCTGATATATTACGTATTTTAAAAGTCCATTATAAATTGAAGAATTTACGACACGAGCAGGACTTGAATCGGCATCCAGAACGTTATGTACTTTGTTCTCAACAATTGAGCTACCGAGTCCTACCAGGTCATCGTCGAATTTTTCAACCCATCGATATATGCACATCTCACGAAATTAAATTTGTATTTTGACTTATATTTAACAAGGACGTAAGTTAATAGTGAGAACACCAATGGCAGTTTCCTAACGAAATGGGTGAACATGTTGTAGATTCAAAGCTTGTAAGCAAGGTCCAGGGTTCGAATCTCCGGTCGCGGTTATAATAGCATCAGCTCGGAGTTTGGGTATAGGGAGATGTTCCCTATACTTTAGTGAGCACGTTAAGCTGACGGTTCCAGTTAACATTACTAATTTAGGGGCAATTAGTCTTCTCAGCTTATCAACCCACTTTAAGGCCGGACGGTGGGTCTAATTTTGTAAACTCTTCTGTAAGAGAGGAGCTCTGAGTTCTGACGTTACGTGACATTGTTATATTGAAACGAATTTGGGAGTAACCCCAATAATACTTTATTACCGCAAGCCACCATCTTAGCAAGTATTAACACGACACGGTCGCTAAGCCTGGATAAAGAAATTAGCGGCCATCGTAAAAACACATGCCTACGATATTTCTCTAATGTTAATATCGAATTGAATCTCAAAAAGATAGCTAATAAATACAACGATATCTATTTTTAAATGTGTGGGATGCTTTCTCCAATCTTGAATGAACGCCTACCCTCCCGTATTTCGTGGAGATGGTCCCAATGATAAGCGACAAGCGGTATGTTTATTATTTCAATATCAACCAATCTTTGTTATCAGCGGTACGCTGTTACATACAAATGATGGTGAATTATGAATTCTAAAATCTTAAGTTTTGTAGTATATCCATACGAAAATACCCAAGTTTATCGTTTAATATGTCTTTTGAATGACTTAAAAAACGCTACGGTAAGTAAGAAATAAATACATTCTATTTAAAATAAAAAAAATATATATTTGGCGATTAAGAGGAGATAACACAAATGGAATGGAAAAAAAAGAATCACATCTTCGTCTAATGTTTGCTGAAAGAAAAAGAAATACTTTGATTTTTTATGACAGAGGAGCTCCATCTACATGCATATCATCAAATTGAGATGCATCGTCGACCTAACTTCCGTATCGATAGCGACCTAATAATTTCAGCAAGATAATAGGCCTTAATTTGGACAATTTCAGAAGCTCAGATTATAATTCCTAGTTCGTTAATAGCTGATGCTGGAGCATCCAATTCACATCAACGGAGGATAATTAGAGTCGGGGCTTTTGTGGTTTATATTATTCCAGTTCAATGGCCGAGCTAAGCTGGACTGGAATGGAATCGATAACTACGTTCCAGTTATTCTAAACTTGTCAAGTCTCCAAGATGATCAAAAGAAATTGATTCTACTGGACTACGTGATTCCAGTAGCGCTGCAATGGTTCCAGTTTCTACACTTATTAGGTCCAAAGCTTTCTAGTGCTCGTTTACTTTATTCCAGTGCTGGCTGAGATTGATAATGTAAGCGGGTTTGAACCAAACGCTACTTCGTGTTATTTACGCTGGCGTATTAGCTTTTTGACAGTGGCAGTTATATCCGATCTGATTTGTTTGGGACAGCTGCAAGAACGCACCTATTAACCGCTGATACATGTTTGTCAGGCAGCTATTAGCGAGACAGAGACGGAGGATACGCGACGCGTGCGTCCGAGTGGGATGGATACATTTCTCCGATTCACGGCCGATATTTATTTGCTGCATCGTGACATTCGAAAAATACCCGGACTGAAAATTTTTGAATCCGTGTATTAAAGCGACACGTCTGGCAGGTCGTTTCTCTTAGTTCTATATAAAGATAATATTGGTCAAGAACGTTGTTAGTTTTCAATTTATTCACAAAATGTTGGGAAGGTAGATGAGACTTATAGTCAGATAACACATACAACAATAATTAGAAGAACAGTAACACATTTTAATAATTAGAATGCAATGCAATCATGTAGGAAACATGTGAAAAAGATTTAAGTTTTTAAACAATAATTGATATATTCTTGAAATGCCATAGCTCTTATACATTGTATTTTATGGAACCAGCTGGATTTGGATTGGAACAGCTGGTATATGGAGAAAAAAATATATTTTGTCCAAAGTGGGACTAATCTATCAGCAGGTATCATTTTGTTTCAGTTTAAAAATTCTATTGTGTCCATGTGCAAAAATATATTTTTTTTTCCAGGATTTGAAAACAAGACCTTGTTCCCTGACGCTCAACAATGCGTTGTACTACTGATGACGTTGAGTAGTAGTCACGAGTTGAGTCTATAATTAAACTAAAATCTACTATCTATATTAAAAATCAATCACAGGAGGGAAAACTACGTAAGGAACAAAATTCTCACGTATTTGCAAGTTGTAAGCCGCCTCTTAATAAATTAAAAAGTTATAATTCCGAACACTTTCAATAAACACGCGAATAAAACATCGTTTACAACGAAAAGACGACAAAAAAATCTTGTATTCACTCATTCGGCGAAAGTTTATAAACAAACGTTATTTGCTTTATAAACAAAATGAATTAATTGCAGATGTGAAAAGATTTATTTATTACCACGGCAATGGTATTATATTATGTTATTATTTTGTTTTAACTATGTAATAATGTAATATTAAAAATTTTACATTTGTTACTAATCTATTTTGGCGAATTTTCATATTATGGATCTGGCATTTGGAGTCGGACGGTTTTCGATATACCTACCTCCGAATGTCTAAAAATCCAGAGGTTAAGGATACAATTATAGTAAGAGATGGCAGTATATATACTAATATTATAAAGCTGAAGAGTGTATTTATTAGTTATATAGAGTTAGGTAATCTCTGGAACTACTCGTTCGAATTGGAAAATGTTTTTGTGTTGGTTAGGTCATTTATCGAGGAAGGCTTTAGGCTATAAAACATCTTGTTGCCATCAAATAAACAATGAGGAATGTGAATGAAACGCTGCGAAAACGGGTCAAGATACCCAAAAATTCTTCTTTAAATAACCTAAAAATGTCCGCGACAGTACTTTACTCTCTTTTAAGAGTAACTCATTAGAACCGAAAATTTGTCGAACTACTTTGGATATATGGCAATAACGTTTGACAAGTAATGAAAACACAGATAACATACAGTTAATAAGGGGTGTATAGTAGAGATATTACATTCGTTGGATGTTAAACATATTTAAAAAAAAATGAAAAACATGTCAAACATGACCCGTTGTTTATGAGTCACATTGTTACTACCAACGACCACTTGAAAAATATTCCATACAATTAATCTCGTCTATTTCGGGACTTTTAATGCGTCGGCGTAATGAAATGGCTACATTGATAATTGATATACAAAGTAGCGATTCAAAATCACAACGATATAATTTGATAATGGCTTTAGTGATAAGTGACTTTGTTGAAATCAACGCTGACATTTACCGTCTAGTTAATTTACGGTCGCCAATTAAGGGGCGTTGCTATTTCAAAAATTCATAGGAATTTGAGATGCTTACACTTAATACTGATGATCTTTTCTACTGCGTATAACAGTGTTTTAAAACGATACAGCTCTCCTACTAGTGCTTGTCTCCCGCTAATTCTACTGCTTAGAAGAGTGTATTAGAAGTAATAAATAGCCACGTATAAAATTTAAACAGCGATTCCCCTTCGGGGCCTTTTTTAAATTGATGACCACATCTTGGAGACAATAGTCGATCAGATCAACTAAACACACCCGCCAGCCGCTTACGGTGCTTACGAGGGAGGGTAATACGATTGTTTTGACTTCAAAGCTAACAGACCCATATCTGTGTCCGTCTCATACGTCGTATTTATTTACTGGCAAGTGCTAAATTAGTCTTCTGTGCCATGTCTACTCCGGAATTCGAACTAGAACGCTAGGCTAAACGTTTCAGCATTTAGCTACAGTGGCGGTCAGGGGGGAAGGGGTAATATTGATCGATGGAGGCTACAATAAATGTTAAAATGTTTTTAATTTTTAAACTTTATTATTATTAATTATTTATCACTTTCTTAGTTTACGATGATTATATTAAACATACTATTCATTTGTATGGTTAATTGGAATTGATTTATCTTATACCCTACTATTAGGTACTAGGAATAGATACAGCGATTTACAAAAAAAGTAATAAATATTGCGATATAATGTGTTTGCATATGTTTCGGTCGAAATCGATTTAAATATGTGTCGGTCGAAAAAGTCTTGAGTAAAAAATCTATTGGTTGGCATGAGGTAAAGAAAAAAAGATGTTTTGCACATTATCAGATCTGTTCTTACTAGTATATAAGCGACTCATGATATCGCAAAGACATTATTTTAGTTCTAAAAGACATTTGTGACCTACCGAACCGAAATTACTTGCACGGGATTTGAACCGAAGCAAGCAAGCTTATTGCATTGGTAGGTCAATGCTTTATCCGGTAAGTACTATATTTACTTGTACGTGTTTGTATGAAAAATGTTCGCTCCGTTGCGACGTTCACATATTGGACACGTTGGATTAAACGAAAATAGTATTATAATTGATGGTCTAAAGCGAAGCCCACAATCTCAAAATGACTCAGAATTCCATACGGTTCGCGGGCTTTTAAAAATTTTCTCGTACTATTAAATGTATACTAAGAGAACTACCAAATTAATTATAGCTATTCGCATATTTCTTGAGACAATTTATGGACTCTCGTGTATTTTTTTTGATATAGAGGAAGACAGACAAGCATAGATATCACTTGGGATAGCCATATAACAACTAAACAAGATGCGCTACTGATCTATTTTTGCTCAATATACAGAGATCTACAGACTGAAACCGAAACGCGATTTAACTTTACAGCTTTAGTCCATAAAGGATGGGAGTTTTAGAAGTAGACAGCTTAACATGTTCAAAAAAATCTTCTACTTAAGAACTTGCAATCTCACCGTGCTATTCTAGAACGGACAGAAATTTTCGTATAATTAATATTTTTTCTTGTTTCTTCATCTGGCTAATGTAACTATATTGTGTAATTGGTAGGTACGTCGAAATTATCGAATATCGAACTACCGTCCACAAATGACAAAGCAGTTAAGTGTAAATTAACTTTTCTTTACCCGTCTATAGATTTGCAAATGTCACAAAAAAACATTTTATTGAGGTGTATTTTTTTTATCAAATTTTATACAAAATGGCCGTAAGGCTCTTTCTGTAATAAAAAAGTTAATCATTACAACTATTTGTCTGTACGCCAGAATCCTAACTTTTATTAAATTTATTGTTTACTAAAAGCCGGTCGCGAATCAACAAAACCTCTATTGAGTAACCTCTATAAAACAGCTATTGCATATTGAGTTTATGTAGCATAATATTGACATAACTTCAAAGGCTTGAATGAAATGTAACGCGGTCCACCGCTAGTTTTCAAAGCAGGCATATGAATCCGGCACTGTTTGCTAAGCTCAAATTAAAAAAATAACTCTTGCGAACAGGAATCAGGAATTGGAATATTCGAAATGCAATCTTGTCATGTTTTAAAGTTTAAATAACTATCGGTGGCTCAATGGTTATGTGCATGGAGTTAAAGTTGTGGATTTGAAGGATTGTAAGTGGAAACACAATCTGTAGTTTCCGTCGGGTGCAGCAAAGTTAAGAGTTTCAAGAATATCGACTTCTAGCTTTTCATTAACATCGATCAATCAGACGGTCAATTAAAGTTTGTCCCATACCCCATAAAACTTCCTCTTTACTATATTTAGTTTGACGTTATTATACTTTTTGTTGTTGTTGAGGCATTCAGCTTTGAAAAATTATAAAACATTTTGGACATGGCACAGAAGTCTGATCAATAGATTGTAAATCGGGCACAGAATAGTGTTTACTCCATACTCCAAGAGACAATAGGTATTCATAAAGTTACGAATTTGCAACGAAAACAAATAATTCTTGTAACTTTCTGGTCACCAAAAACATTCTTTGTATTGTGGACGGTTCTCCTTCATTACTTTTTCAAGATTGCTCTAGAAACGTGCCGTTCACACGTAGATCAAAAATCGACTATTAAAAAGCAAGATTCGCAACAAAGTTAACTCGCTCGTGAAATAGGACCATTGTGTACTGTATGAACAAATAAATTAGCAGAGTAAGCTAGGGGAGCGAATTCCTCCTTATCACTAGGCGATAAGGGCAAAATCCGCCTGCGCAGCGATAAACAAAAGTTGTCTACATTGTACACTCGTGCAAAAAAGTGGCAGACCACCCGCGTGCGGAAAGCTACCAACATATATTGCATAAGTTACATTTGACATCAGCGCAAAGTATGGCTCATATCTAAATCTCAATTAATCAGCTTTGTAGGTGGTCAAGTAATAATTTGGTTTCCACGTGTGAAGGTTGGGCCCAGGCATCGTCTTATAGAAAAGTGTTTAAGAGCTTCTTTAACACGAATTGGTGGGTTTGACAAATTACTGTCCTTAAATT